TAGAATTACCATATGATCCACTTCTGGATATTTATCTGAAGACAATGAAAACATTAACTTGAAAAGATATACGCATCCCCATGTTAATTGTAGCTTTTTTTTTTTTACAGTAGCCAAGATATGGAAACAACTTTAGTGTCCACGGACAGATGAATGGATAAAGAAAATGTGGTATATATATATATATATATATATATATATATATGTGTATGTGTGTATATATATATATATATGTGTATGTGTATATATATATATATATACACAATGAGATATTATTCAGCTGTAAAAAAAGAATGAATTCTTGCCATTTGCAACAACATGGACTGACACTGAGGGTGTTATGCTAAGTGAAATAAGTCAAATAGAGATAGACAAATACCATATGATCTCACTTATATGTGGAATCTAAAACAAAAACAAAAAACCAAGCTCATAGATACAGAGATTGGTGGTTGCCAAAGGTGGGGATACAGGGGGTGAGAAAAATGAGCGAAGAGAGTCAAAACGTAGAAACTTCCAGTTTATAAATATTTTACAAAATAAATATTTTATTTTATAAAATAAATAAGTCATGGAGATGTAATGTACACATGGTGACTATAGTTAATAATACTGTATTGCATATTTGAAAGCTGTTAAGAGGGTAAATCTTAAAAGTTCTCATCACAAGGAAAAAAAATTCAGTAACTATGTATGGTGATGGATGTTAACTAGATTTATTGTGGTGATCATTTTGCAATCTATACAAATATCTAATCATTATGTTGTATACATGAAACTAAATAATGTTGTATGTCAATTATACCTCAATAAAAATATCAATATATAAAAATCAATTGTATTTCTTTACACAAGCAATGAACAATGTAAAAATGAAATTATGATCAAATATATAAAAATAAATTAAAAAATAATTCTACAATGCTGAGGTTGGAAAGAAACATCCTCATTTTTCCTAAGTTTTTGTTTATTGTGCAACCCTTGACTTTATTTCCAATTATCTTGCACACAAATCCAATCCAGTAAAGCTGAGTGGTTCACTTAAATTTTTATTTGACAGAACAATGTATTCAGATAATAACTTTGTAGTTTTGTTTGGCTATGAGCACTCCAAAAATATATGAAAGTATTTTCTCACCCCATCCACCCCTACTCATTCCCCATATCCAAATTAGGGGACCATGAAAGACAACCTAAATTCAGAGCCCTTAAAGTCTAGATTAAATAGCATGAAAGTGCCGATCTCAATAGGAAATGCAAGGGCTGAGAAATCTGAGATGGGAGTGGAAAGGGGTGAATAGAGAAACAAAGGGAAGATTGAGAATACTAACGCCAAATTTTGCCACCTTGGTACCAAATAAAAGGTAGGGATTTTGTAGTCTAAAGTCGTTGATTTGTAATCTTGGAATTGTCACTGCTTACCTTTGTGACTTCTGGCAAGTTATAGACCATTTCTGAGTTCTAATTTCCTGGAAATGACATAGGGATAATATTACTCACTTCATAAAGTTGTTGTCTTCATAGCATGAAATGGGATTGCAATGAACAAAGCATCTAGTTATTGCTGGCATTTGATAGGCACTAATAAGTGGTAATTCTTATTATTATTGTCTTTATTACCACTTTTCTCAGGAGTGGTTGGAGCTAGTAATGTTGTGACTCAGTACTCTTCAATCATTTCTCTATTAATCATCGTTATTGCATAACCAGCAAGTACAAAATCTCCTTGGCATATAACTATCTGCATTTATTCCTTGCTTGTAAGAATGAAGGCTGGATGAGGTGTTCCTGCTGCATGCTGCAGGGGCTGGAGTGGCTGGGATTTATGGTCCTGTTGGCTATGATGTCTCTCTTCCAGAGATCTCTTGTCCTCCCTCCAGGCCAGTGAGGCAGCTGGGCATGCTCTTCTCATGACAATGGAGGAAACAGAAAAGAGTATGCTCAACTATGCAAACAACTTTCAAATATCTTTTTGCAACATGACTACTAATATCCTATTGAACAAAGCAAGCCATATAGTCTAGCTAAAGACATGGAACAGGGAAGTATGCTCTGCCTTTTGTGGGAAGGACTGAAAAGCTGTATGGTAAAGCACATCAATTGGTGGGCCGGGGGGAGGTAGAAGATTTGGGGCCAGTAATTCAACTTTTAATGATATCCTAGACTCAAAAGAAGACAGATGGTGATGAAAGGTCAATCCCTGCTCCCTTAGACCCACACTTGAGAAGCAAAATGGAATCCAATATCTGCTGCTAAAATCCAATGAGCAATATACATTAATAATTTTAATTAGAATTACTGAAACAGTTTATCATGTAAAAGGAAGATTTAATGCAATGAGAAAAGCCCATGGGAATACTTCTGTTGCTAGGATTATTTCCTTGGGATATAAAAGAAAACAAACCAGTAAGGTACATTATTTTATTACTTGAGTTATTTGTCCAACAAAGATTTATTGAACACCTACTCTATGCCAAGCAGCATGTTGTATTAATAGCCAATTATGCATTAGCAGGAGGTTGCAATGATAAATGAAAAATGGAGATTTCACTGAAGCAGGGGAATTAAGAAATGCAGAGAGAACAATAATACAAAGCGGAAAGTAAAAAATGACATAAGAAAGATACTGAAGGAGGAAGCACTTACATCCAATTGAGAAGATGCATATATACACATTAAAGAAATCAGTTTTAAAAAATCTGTGAACGTTGATAGAAAATCAATAAAACATGAAAAAGACTCCGATTGAAATTTATTTGATTTTGTGTCAAAATCTGATGTTACAACATAATTTCTTGATATATGTTTCTAAGTAATCAGTTAAGATTAGAGCTTCCAGCTTTGTAAATAAAAACTGAGTCTGGCCCGTGAGAAATGAGGTCCTTTCAATGTAATGCTGGAAAGGAAAAAGAATCAGAGCAGGACTCAAATGGTTACCAACGAGAAAAGATTTGCATAAGTCATCTGATTCAGTACAGCTATTATCTCTAAGTCATTATTTCCTGCCTGCCAGTAAAAATTTTATTTGGTTGGATAATCACACACAAGCCCATGTTTTAGATGAATATTTTTCATTTTGCCTAATGAGGAACTGGAGAGGATATTCATTTTTGTCCAATGAAAAGCGCTTAGAAAAACATTATAACTTTGTTTTGATAAGGTTAATCTTAGTAAAGTAGACAGAAAATTGTGTATTTGATTTAGTGTTATTTCACCATTAGAAATTTACCAAACCGTGACAGATTAGGCTCCATGCTAAGAACTATTTGCCATTTTCTACAAACTTGTTAAGTTTTTGTTATTCTGATGTACAGACTCCTGTGTGGTAAATTTTAGCTAGGAGGTAAAATACTGAGGCTGTGAGAACATTTTAATTTTTTTTTAGTTCTCTCTAAAAATTTTTATCTTAAAAATTGAATAAACCTTCCTGAGTTTAATTTAAGCAGGTGTGATGCTGGCTAATGATACTTGCTATAAAGGGAAGAATGGTTCTTAACTTTCCAAATACAATAGCATGGTTAAATTATACGAACCTCTTGAAAAAAAGAGTCTAAAAATAATTGCATTGGAGATTTAAATATAAATCTGGTACTGGGGGCTGGCCCGTGGCTTAGGGGTTGGGTGCATGCGCTCCGCTACTGGTGGCCCGGGTTCGGATCCCGGGCACACACCGACGCACTGCTTCTCCCGCCTTGCTGAGGCCGTGTCCCACATACAGCGGCTGGAAGGATGTGAGGCTGTGACATACAACTATCTACTGGGGCTTTGGGGGAAAAAAAAATAAATAAAATTATAAAAAAAAAATCTGGTACTGGGCTTAGTATGTTTATTTAAATGTAAACATTTCAATTTCCTTGATTTATAAAATTTTGCATTCCTAAATAGATTCCTATAAATCAAATCGTATTTTCCCAGTGACTTATATTATCATTTTAGAATTATTTTAGCTTCACTTGAAATTGCCTATCATTATAGGTGGTTCTCAACATTTTGATTGAAAATATTTCTCCCCTGTCATTCTGCTACTCATTGGCAATGTTTGGTTAAGCTGTTTTATGCAAAAATATAAACTGACTGGAAATCATGAACACTTATATACATATGAATATTTTCTTGACAATTCAGAACTAATCTATATTCCTTGCTAGCCCAGTTCTTTGGAATAAATCATCACCTTCTATGGTCACTAATTCCCATGTAGACATATCTATCATTATCTTTTATTCTCATTTTAAAATGTTATTTTCACTATTAAAGGCCATATTTTCTCCTTCAGTACTTGTATTACTCCTGGTTCTCAGCTGCAATCAACACGAGGTTGCTCTGCCTAAAATAAGCAGAACAGCACTTTATTAAATAGATCTTGGGTGGCTCACAGAAATATCAGGAAGGCTAGAGAACTATGCTTAAGGTTAAGCGGCCTTAAAAAAAAAAACCAAACCATACTTCAGATCATATTTAGTGAGAAAACTGTTGTTACCACAGAGAGAGAGAGAGAGAGAGAGAGAGAGAGAGAGAGAGCTAGAAAGAGAGAGAGGAACAGGAGCAGGAGGAGGAGGGAAGAGAGGGTAAGGGAAGGAGGAGGAAAAAAAGAGATGTTTTCTCATCACTTCCTGGGTTACCATCTTCCACATGAAAAGTATATCTGAGACCTAGCTGCAAGGCAGGCTGGGAAAGCAGATATGCAGTTCTCAACTCTTATTGTTGTAACAACTTTTCTCCTCACCAAGCCTCATAAGTTGGAGAATTTCTCATAGGTACGAGAGAGTTCAGATCCTGGGAGGCCAAACTGAACACCATCTGCACCCTACAGCTCTATAGCAACATTTCCTCAATTGTGGAATGGCAATGTGAGGTGAGTTTATAACAACAACATAATAACAAATTTACCTGTGCGGTTATAACATAACAAAACAAATACAGCCACGCCTCTCTTAATGACAGGGATACATTCTGAGAGATTCGTCATTAGGTGATTTCATCATTGTGCGAACATCGTAGAGTGTACTTACACAAACCTAGATGGTATAGCCTACTACATACCTAGGCTATATGGTACTAATCTTATGGCACCGCGGTTGTAGATGCAGTCTCTCTCTGATCGAAACGTCACCAAAAGGCGCATGACCGTAGAAACGAATAAATAGAACAGGAAGGGAAATGCTACGTATTATATCCCACCTTGGAGGTTCATAATGCACACGAACATAAAAAGTACCCTAAAATTCCACAGTGAAGAAAATTTGAAATAAAATTAAACTCAGAATTTTCTAAACTTATTTGACTTTGGAATTATTTTTTTAAAGACTGCCCTCATGGTAGACACTGTTAGGTGTATGTCTAACATCTATTTCCACTCCCGTCATCTTTTTTCCTAACCGTAATTTTGTCCAGGTATCCACCACCTTCCTCATGACCTTGTTCAGTCAAGGCCAACTTCATCCCAGGCCTAGGTATATGTCATAACTGACTAAGATAATCATAGACATATGATACATTTCCATCCAATGAGATGTGAAGAAGTTGGCCAGGGTTTCTGGGAAATTTTCTCCAATCTTACAAATAATTACAAATAAGAATTGGACTCTATTCCAATGAACTTTGTCATGTTTACCTGTAATGTCTTTAATTATTGTAACCACCTTGCAATCACAAAGTGGGTCAGCCTGGGGACAAAATCTATACCAAAGAAAGGCAGACCCAAGAACAGCAAAGAAGTAGTGCCAATATCTACGTCATACCACACATAGAGTTGTTTCTCATTATTTGAAATGATATATATTTTTTCTTAAGCTTTTCAAAAACATACTAAATGAAATATGTTGACTATCTTGAACACAGGATTTCCTTTGGAAACTATGAATACATAAACCTCTGAGTTATAAGCCTTATTCTGACACCACCTTCCTAGCATTTTTCCCTATGTATTATCAAACAAAATATTCCCCTTTCTTCAACATACTTGATAACTTACATTTCATTTGAATATAGAGTTGTGGCTGATTAATCAGCAAATAACCTTTTTGAAGTCTACGATGTTTGTTTCCCTTCTCGAATAATTGTGAATAAAACATCACATATGGCACCATTCCTTCACTCAAGAAACCCAGCGTCTAGCATCAAACTCATCACGGGAGAGAGAATATTGTTTAAATCTTAAACCAATGTCTGATTATGCTGTTTGAACATTCCTTGAGAGAGGTGAGATTGAAGCTACCGGTGCCGGGAGGGAAAGAATTCACACGCGTTATCTGGCACTTTACTTGCACATTGTAAATGCTACCTCAGAATGTGTTACTTTTCCTTAGTTCTAATGTTAAACAGTCAACTCTTCATTGTCTGGGAGCCCCATAATGGTTTGAGGACTAATGGTGGTATACAGAAAAATAAAATAAAATAAAGATGATGTAGTTGTAAAAACACGTATTTACAAAGGATTAAGAATCAAAGGCATCAATTGTTTGCAACAACTTAGTAAGCAACAGACATGGTATCTATTGTAATGTGAGAACATCCCTCTGGCTCACTGTTCCTACACACAGCCTACCAGAATGATGTCCTGCCCTCTGCCAGAAACTTCTCCTGTGAGTGCCATAGCCCTCAGCTTAGTAAGGGAAAGGGAGCTCTGCATAGCTGTGAAATCCAATACAGTATTTAGGGCTGTGAGAGTGGAGAAATTAGCCAAGGAAGAGAGAGCAGGGATAGGGAGCAAGCAGGCAGCAGGGAAGCAGAAACTGCCCCTCACCCCTAAATAAATCTTCTGCAACTCAAACTTTCTTCTAACATTCATGAAAAGATAGAGTGAGAAGGAGGGAAGGAGAGAGAGAGAAAGAAAAAATTCAGCCATTTTCTACTAATAGGTTTTCGCTGTGTTGAGCGTTCTGAAAAATTCTGGATTTCAGGGTTTTTTTTTTTTTGCTTTTTTTCAAGTGTTTCTAAATTTTAGATACAAAAAACTCAATCTTAAATCCATTCAGTATAATGTTTTTAATAGCATATGTGTTCATCTGTACATTCCTTCACTCACCTTTGCTGTCCTCAGACATGGAACTTCCACTAATTCATATTTCCTCACTGTACCCCCGAAGAACTTAATCCTAGTTCAGTAGTCAAGGTAGAGACATACGATGTTACATGAGCATGTATATTATTTTATTTATGATTTGTCATTAAATCAAATTATACTGAGGTTTCAATCTGTGAGATATTAAAGCTTGAGTGACATTTTGTGAATTTGAAAGTTTTGTTCTTTATCCTTTCATGTCATTCTTTCATTCCTTCACTCATTCACCCCTTCCTTGCACAAAATTTACTTAGAGAGAATTAAGAATGCTTTCTACTTTTTCAAGTTTGGGCGTTTCCATGAGAAACTAGAGTGAGCATATTTAATGACATAGTGTAGATCTCCTCACACTAAGCTGATGCTCAGAACCTTGTCACATCCCTCAGAATTCCAGATACTATGCACACAAGTCATTTGAGAAGACAAGGGACTGGGACGCTGCCAATCTGAACAGGCACTCAGGATTTAATTTACCTTGGGGACTGATCCTTTGTTGAAGCCTTACTAGATGTAGTAGGCTGAGAGTTGTGCTAGCAATGCTCAACACTCACCTCCAGTTGAAGCCCACTCGCACTTCTCTCCCAACAACTCCAACAACATAAAAAAGAGTGACTCTTTGTGGTAGGTTGTTTTCTAAGATGGTCCCTGGTGATCCCTAACTCCAGATATTCATGCCTCTGCTTGAGCGTAGACTGGACCTAGTGATTCACTCCTAATGAATGAATGCAGCAAAAGTCACAGATGTTTCTCCTGAGATTAGGTTACAAAAGACTGTGACTTCTGATTTGCTCATCCTAACTCTCTCACTTGATCACTTTTATGGAATTCAGCTGCCATGCTGTGAGCTGCCCCATGGAGAGGCCCATGTGGTAAAGGAACTTAGGACCAACAGCCTGTAAGGAACTGAATCTGCCAACAACCATGTACGTAAACCTAGAAATAGATCCACCCCAGCTGAGCTTAAAGAGGACCATGGGCCCACTCAACAACTTGACTGCAGCCTTGCAAGAGACCTTGAACCAGAGGACCCAGTTAAGCTGTACCTGGATAACTGACCCATAGAAATCGTGAGATGGTAAATGTGTATTGTTTTAAGCTGCTAAATTTTGGGGTAATTTGCTATGCAGAGACAATAACTGATACATATAAACCGATGACTAAAACTAATTCTTAACAGAGTATATATAATACATTATGTATAATTACATATATAATTATATATATGTGTATATGTGTGTGTATGTGTATACACTTAGCTGACTGCATTATTTTTGTTTTATATATAGGTCTATATTTCCTATTTAGACTAAGGGGATGAGGTATCTTTGGAGCCATAAAGACAGAGTGCCTGACATATAACAGGCACTTAAAATATTTAAGGAGATAGGTTCTCTTTTCTTCTGAACCTTGGAAGCTCATTAAATATATAAGATATATCCCCAAAGAATTGTTTGTGTATACAACTACTTTTATAGAGTGTTATCAGCTTTAAGAGATGGTAAAGAGGAGTGGTTAAGAGGCTGGATCAAGTCAGACAAATCTGGGGCTCCATGCTTGCTCCATTGTCATTCTAGCCCTACGCCACGGGCAAGTTACTTTTTCTTTGAATCTGGCTCCTCATCTGTGAAATGGTAATATTAGAATAATGATCTCTCTGGATTTTGGGAAGGATTAAATGGTGAAGGGGAAAACATTGCGCCTGGCACAAAAGAAGCGCTTAAGTGTTAACAATTATCATGGTAGCTAAGTTTTGTATACATTATCTCTTTTAACTATTAGAATAATCATTTGGCAGACATTGTTTGGCCTGATTTCCTTACCCAAACATGTTGATGCAGTTAGGTCGTTCATCCATTGTCACAAGGCTTGCCATTGTCGTGTTGCCTGAGGGATTACTTCTGAGTAGAACTGCTTCGGTTAAATGAGATCATAAATAAATAGGGCTCACCTCGCCCCTATCGTGCACTCAATAAATGTTGCTGGTATTATTGGGATGGAGACAAAAAATCTAGACTTAATTCTCACATCATAAAACCTGCTTCCATCCCTTCCTTGTTTTTGCTCCTTTTCCAGATGTCAACTCCACTAATGACAAATAACAAAATGAAGACGTGGAAATAAGATCAAGGACCATGGATCCAAAGAAGAGCATCTTTTTCTGGAGGTAGCTGGAGACATTCTTGAATAAAATGCAGTCTGATGACATCCAAGCTTCAATTCCTCATTAAATCAGAAGGAGTAGATATTTTAGCCATATTTGATAGTCTCATTAGTTCTTATCATCTAATTACATTAGTTTCCATTACTAGAAAAAATGTTGTATTTATTGGGGATAAAAAAGATTTGGAGAGATGACAAATGAAGAGGACTTAAATAAAAAGAGACGGTGAATCAAAGAAAAACAGGGAGTCTACTGCATTCACTGGTGGACATATTCATTCATGGTTATTGGGAAGGATGCTTTATAACAACTTAAAACCCTACATTTAAAATTTTAAAAATAAAAAATGCAGACATACCTGGGTATGGAATAATTGTTGCAGTTTAGCCATCATAAATCCTTTCTGGATGAAAACAAAATACAAATCAATTCATAAAATAAATACTGGTTGTGCATCAAATATTATTTAGAAGTAATTGTAGGGTAGGAAGAGTATTCCTCTAACCTCTAGGTCCTTCTTGCTGGTCTAAGAATTAAATTGACACGAGACAGAATAACAGGAGAAAATCAAACAAAGTTTAATAACACGTGTACATGGGAGAAACCCATGAAAAGCGAGTCACTCACCAAAATGGCCAAGACGCCACCTTAAACATTATCTTCAGCAAAAGACAAAGGAGGATGTTGCGGGTAGTGGTTTGGGACTTCAAAGGGGAGGAAGGCAATTTACCTGGAGATGGAAAAGCAAATGTTTGGTAAACGAATGTTTACCATATCTTGCAAAAACAATGGGACATGAGGAAGACTTTGATTAGATGGGCCTTGCTAGGTTTTCCCTATCACCTAGTGTATATTATACTACAGTTATCTTAA